AGGCTATAAAAGGCTGTGGCTTCTCGCTTTCTTGCACCATTTCTTCCTGGCTCTTATCCTATGCTCATTCTGCTGAAGCAAATTGTAACTAGTGAACTATTCTATGGAGAGGCACATGTGTCCAGGAGCTGAGGGCAGCTCCTAGCCAACAGCCACCAACGAACTGAATCCTGCCAAGAATCATGTGAATGAGCTTTGAAGTGGACCCTTCTCTTTTTAAGCTTTCAGATGAGACTGCAGCCCCTGCTGGCATCTTGATTCTAGCCTTGAGAGAGAGAGAGACCCTAAGCAGAGGACCCAGCTAAGCCATGCCTGGATTTCTGCTCACAGACACAGTGATAAAATAAATGCTAGCCTCTACCAGCATACATTTGTTTAGCTTGCTTTTGTACTTTATATAAATGAGATCACACAGTATGTAAACAATAGCTTTTTAGCAGATTCTCAGTGAGATTCCTTGATACATTGAGAACCACTGAGACACATGAAGAGAGAGCCAGTGATTGACATGTTTGCCAGTAGTTATCCATCACAGTCTTGGTCTGGGAATAAGTGACTGATTTTAGAAGAGAAATAATGGTTAACCTGGACAGAAATAGGTGTAGGATGGGACAAGTAATTCACTCAGCCAGCCCTCACAGCCATGTGCTCTGAGTCTTGAGTCTCTGTTCCCTATGCTACCCTCTGTCTGTAATTTGATTTCCTGAGAGATGAGGCCCAGAAAAATAAAACAAAAGAAAAAACCCACTAAGTCACAACTAGAGATACTTATCCTTCTCTATGAACCAACACCCCAGTATTTGGGTTTTTACTTAGCTTTTCACAAGTTTGGTTATTGGGAGTCAGCCCTAGAGGATAATCAACCCCAGATGCAGTGATAAATGGAATTTCTAAATCTAGTTGCTAACAATTATGAAGCTATGTTAAGCATTTTATATGTTACATAATTTATATACAAACACACCAACCTGATAGGAAGCTAGTTATTAAGATATTTTATAAATGAGGAAACAGTTTAAACAATTTGCCTATGCCCTAACCGGTTTGGCTCAGTGGATAGAGCGTTGGCCTGCGGACTCAAGGGTCCCAGGTTCGATTCTGGTCAAGGGCATATACCTTGGTTGCGGGCACATACCCAGTAGGGAGTGTGCAGGAGGCAGCTGATCGATGTTTCTCTCTCATCAATGTTTCTAACTCTCTATCCTTCTCCCTTCCTTTCTGTAAAAAATCAATAAAATATATTTAAAAAAATTAAAAATAAATAAAACAACTTGCCTAAGACTGCATTCTGCCCATATAATACAGCTAGTTGGAGGCCGACTGAGAGTCACATACAGGTTCATTCATTCATTTCCACTCTCAGTTTTTAATCACTAAACTTTGGTACCTTCCACAGAGCTTGAGATCAAAGTCTGCTGCGACAATGAAGATGTGCTTGAGTAGTCAGCTGGATTCCTTATCCCTGCCATTCATCTATCCCTCCATCCAGCCACACATCCATTCCTTCAATCATCTTCCAATCAACCAACTATCCATCTGCTATGGTCTGAATATTTGTGTCCCTCCAAAATTTATTTGTTGAAATCCTAACCCCTAAGGTGATAGTATTAGGAGGTGGGGCATATGGGAGGTGATTAGGTAATGAAGACGGGACCCTCTTGATTGAGATTAATACCTTTTTAAAAAATATATATATTTTTTATTGATTTCAGAGAGGAAGGGAGAAAGATAGAAACATAAAGGTTGAGAGAGTATTATCAATCGACTGCCTTCTGCATGCTCCTTCTGGGGATCAAGCCTACAACCTGGGCATGTGCCCTGACTGGGAATTGAACCATAGCCTCCTGGTTCATAGGTTGACACTCAAACACTGAGCCACACCAGCTGGGCAGGATTCAGACTCTCTTTCTATTTTTTAAAATATATTTTTATTGATTTCAGAAAAGAAGGGGGGGGGGAGAGATAGAAACATCAGTAATGAGTGAGAAGGATTCAAACTTTTAATGTCTGCACCTTCACCACTTCCTCTCTAGTGAAAGGATTTCATAGGGTGTGACCTTGTTGTGAGCAATGGGGCATTTTATTTCAAATGAAGTTTTCCTGGGAAGTCCACTGTGTGGGAGATGAAGTAGGACTTCCTAAGGTCAAAGCAGGGTGGAAACGTTTCCAAGACCTCCACACCCACTTCCACACCCATCCTCCTGTGGAGCCTCCAAGACAGCTCCCTTGCCCCTTTTTGCCATGTGAGTATACAAAGAGAAGTCTGCAGCCTGAAAAAAGGCCTTCATTTCACCATGCTGGTGACCTGATCTTGCACTTCCAGCCTGCAGAACTGTAAGGAATAAATTTCTGTTGTTAATAAGCCATCAAATCTGTGGTATTTTGTTCTAGCACTCTGAAGAGACTAAGACACCATCCAGTCACCCATCCAGTCCTCCAGCCAGCCAGCCAGCCACAAATACCATGGAGCTATCCATTCCACAAATACCAAGGGCCTTCTCTATGCTGATTTTATGCCAGGAGGAAGCTGCATACAACAAAACTTATGAAAGCTGGGTTTTCACTGGATTTAGAATTCCTTGAGGATAGTATCTCTTGTTTTTGTATCTGTAGAGCATAAAATATGATTGGCTCCTGTCTTCCTTTTCAATCTTACCCACTTATTCAATTATACTGGTCTCCTTTCCGTTTCTGGAATAAGACCTCTTTTGCCTCAAGACTTTTGCAATTGCTGTTCCTTTTGACCCAAATATTCATCAAGCAATGCTAATAGCTGGCTCCTTCTTATCCTTTGCAACTTACTTAAATGTCTTGTCTTCAGAGAGGCCTTTTCTGACCACTTTATCTAAAGTAGATGCTCTCTTCCCCCTCCCCAGCTATTCCCTATCACCTCACCCTGTTTATTTCTTTGAAGGCATTGGTCACAATCTTGTTTATTGTTTATTTTCTAACTTCCTAACCAGAAACAAGTCCAGGGAGGCCAGGTACTAAGTCTTTCATGTTTGTGTTTTTGTGCTTTTTTTTCCTACATGACTTCTGTCTTCCTAGCCCAGTAACAGACACATAGTAGTAGGCCTTCAATATTTATTTGTTGAATAAATGAATGAAAAAAATTCATGACCATATAAACAGACCTTGAAAGATAGAGTAGGAACAGAGAGGGCCTTGAAAGACAAGCAGAAGAGGGTACACTTGATGGGAACATAGGAAGCTAGTAGAAGTTCTTGAGTTGCAGAATGAAAAATGATTTAGGGGGGTAACTTGGTATGCCACAATCTGCCATAAATCCTTAATTTAAATAATTCACTGGAGTGTCTTGTAATGAATCACTACAAGAGGTAATTAGGATCTAGGACCTGAGCTGTATTTTTCTCCCAATGTTTAATTAATTGATAATGGTGATCTATAAAGTGATCATAGTGAAGACCCTATAAGGTGGGATCCACATCTGTTTACTGCAGTCAGGCCTGCAGGAGATAAATTATTTGTTCAGTTACTGAGTGAAACAATCATGCACGTAGAAAGACCTGGGTTAGATAGGATTTGCTACTAGCCATCTGTGTGACCCTTAAGAAGATCCTTAACCTGGCTAAGGTCAGTTTATCTGTAAAGAGAAAGAAGACTTAGCTCAGGCATTTAAATGAAAGCTTATGAGAAAATCTGAGGCACAGAGTAGACCTCGGTAAATTCATTTCCTTCTGTTACTTTGGAGATGCTGAACCTGCCCTGACAGGGATTTCCTACTGGCCTTTTCCCAACAGTCTTGTGGCTTGAAATAGAGCATATGGTGATACTTACTTTTTGCTATTTTCAGTCTTTCCCATGTAAAGCTGGAATTGTGACTCTGCAACTTAACTAGCTGAGTGACCTTAGGCACCTCAATTCTTTATCTATAAAATAGGTATAATAATAGTACCTGTCTCATAGGAATATTGTAAGGATTACATGAGATGGTACACTGAGTGTCTGTACTAGTGCCTGGTACATAGTAGGTTCACAAATGTTAGCTGTAATCCTTTAGGACTTTATTTTACTCTCCTTAATCCTGGCAACTTTTCTCCTCTTCCTTCTGTAGGTATTCTCAGTGCCTACAATCTCTTCTGGGGAGAATGCTGACTCTGAAATGCAATGTGGGAGAAAAGGATTCAGTAGCTTCTTCCAGGCATCCAAACCAAGAGCCTTCAAGTAAGAATAGAGTAGGAGCATTATGACACTGAAGAGAGACTTTTTCTATCAGTGGCATAGGAGAGGACAGGAAAGAAAAAACGCTTAAGGAACCAGACACATCCATTTTCTAGTGATTTTGGAAGAACAAGCAGTATTAGCGTGGGAGCCTCAAAGACTGCTTTCTGGAACTTTCATTAGCTTAATCTATTGTGCTTTTCATTAGCATTTTCCTAGAAAGTGAAGTCAAGGAAAATATTCCTGGGGTGGGGCTGGAGTAACTACCATGCGGTTATAGAGACTGTTTTGCACATCATTTTTTCTCCAGCACCTAGCACAGTACCTAGCATACCAGGGACTCAAAAGTGTAGAATTATTTTCAAACTTTAGTTGTCTTTCCCAAGGAAACTTGTCGTGCCCACAAGCGGCCGCAAGCAGGTCCGCGCCTAGAAATAACATTTATTCTAAAGACCACTGCGCAGGGATTCTTGGGAAGCAGTCCCCCTCCCTCATTCGCTTGTTTCTCCTCCCGTAAGTTGCCTTTGAAAGAACTGGCACGCCACGTGATTCCCTCCCTTCTCCCCCCCTGAAAGCCTGGCTGATAACGGGCAGGAGCGTAGGCCAACCATAAAATTCTATTTCCTCTTGTAGCCAATAGTAAGAAGCGATAAGTATATGGCTCAGTTTTTTTTACTTTCCTCGCCCACCTTAAGCCCGCCCCTCCACTCCCATTGGACATTTGACAACTCACCCGGCCAATGAGAAGTTCCTACTCTACATGGGAGGGATGGACTGACTAGATAATAGACGTCCGGCTCTGGCCAATGGCATATCACAAGTGAGGCAGGAGTGGAGGACGGGACCAATGGCGCGGTGCCAATAACGAGCATCAGTGGAAGGGCGGGACGAAACTGTTCGCGGGAGGGAGGGGAAGGCCCAGGGAACCAAGCAGCGCTGCCGCCACCGCCGCTGCAACCGGAGTTGGAGGAGGGAGAAGCCAGGGAGAAAATGGCGGCCGTGGCTGCAGAGGCGGCAGCGACTGCAGCGTCCCCCGGGGAGGGGGGCGCCGGCGAGGCCGAGCCGGAGATGGAGCCCATCCCCGGCAGCGAGGCCGGTACTGACACCCTCCCGGTCACGGCCACTGAAGCATCCGTGCCGGACGGCGAGGCCGACGGGCAGCCGTCCGCTCCTCAGGCCGACGAGCCGCCGCTCTCGCCGTCGCGGGAGCTTGCTCGCAGCCCGGAGGCGGCGGGGCCGAAGCTGGAGGCTGAGGAGAAGCTGCTCGCTCAGTGGTGGAGCCGGCGGCAGCCGCGCCCTCAGGAGGGCCCGACCTTCCCCCT